CACCCTCACTGTGAAGAACTTCTTCCTTAATGCTTGTCCTGACAGATTGTTGTTGGCTGTGTTCACTCTGAGGGCTGCAGAAGAGAAAAGTTAAAGTTTGCTTTAAGTGACTTACCTAATTATATCTGAGATACTGCTGTAGGAGGAGCACAGCTTGAGAAGAACGTTAGAGGGTAATATAGTTGTGGGTGCCTGATGGTTTTCTGTATTAATCAGTAGCACAAGTTTTTAATATTTTTAGTAAACCAGTTATTTTACATTCCTGGCAGTTTAGATGAACTTTTAATTTAATTTTCAAATGTTTTAGGAAAAATTTCACCCCCAATAGGGCAGTCAGGCATTGGAACAGACTGCCCAGGGCAGTGGTGGAATCACCATCCATGGCAGTGTTCACAAACCATGTAGACAAGGCCCTTAGTGACATGGGTTAGTGGTGGCCTTGGCAGTGCTGGGGGAATGGTTGGACTTGATGATCTTAAAGGTCTTTTCCAACCTAGTTTATTCTATGTTTTCTACTCACTTGATCACATTTGGCTTTCACTCTGAGTGTGGTCAGATGGATTTTCAGGCTGAGGTAATTGGGATATGGGCTGCTGGATGTTCTGAAGACTTAGTGTCTACACCTGGAAAAGCCACCAGGCACTTACCCTGGGTTGGAGAGCCTGCTCTGCTGTGGAACGGTTCCTGAGCTGCTGCAGTCCCTAATGCAGGCTGTGAATGTGAATGAAACCTGGAGTAATTTTACATTAATTGCCTGTCCTGAAACTTCACAGGAGTTTAGGATTTATTTCTTGCACGCTAACAGCCTCTGGGTTCATTTGTCACTGCAGGTCTGTTGGAGCTGTAATGGAGTTAGCAACAAGCACATGAAAACTAACTCCATCCCTATGACTGCTGGATGGAGCAGTGGGTGAGGCAGTAACATAGCTCTTTTTTGCACATTTATAAGTTTTGGCCACATATGGATCTTTGCTGGCAGTGAAATGAAAGCTGGCCTGAAGGGAGGTCCAGGAGGGTGGAAGTGCAAGGCATGGCTTCAGTTCTGGTCATCCTCTCTGATGTGGCAGTGTGGGTGAAGGCTGGGAGTGACAGCCAGACTGGGCGACCTGCCAGAGTGTTATGGGTCCCTGGGAATGTTACCTTCCTTCTGCTGAGGTTATGGGATTTCTGCACTTTATTCCAGGCTTCAAGTAATTATTTGAAGCTGTGAAAAAATATTACTTTTCACTTGACTGTCAGCCTTGATTTTTCTCATGAAGCCGGTTGTGACAAGGGCCAGCATTTGTAGTGTTTCAGTTACTGTTTCAGATCCAGGATCTGCCCTACAAAACCAGAAATGGTCTTTTCTTCTGTATGCTGTCATAAATGTTCGCTACTGTTCTTCTAGCAGAATTATGAGGAGAATGGGAGGAGCAGGCCTGTCAACAGGGGATGTAACAGGGAGTGAATTTGTTCATACCCCTTTAACACTTCTGAGTTTCAAGATGGTCCTCTGAAATACCATAATCCATTATTGTGTGGAGTTCTCATCTCTGGTTAAGCAGCTGGAGAACTTGGCCACCGCAGTGTGTTTGCACACAACACAACTGGAACTAAAACAGCAGGCTGAGTGTAATGCCTTGCAGTACTGGTAATTGCAGAGAAAACAAGCCCCAATGGTTCAGTTTTCCATGTTGCAGCTTCTGTGGACAATCAGATTATCTGTTGGAGAAGATAATTCTCAGAAGAAAGTAGCAGTCCTTTAAAAATACAGTATATGTAGTTTATGTAGTTTCTTCATACGATCATTTACCTGTCCCCCCCATTCCAAATTCGAAATGTATAAGCCCTGTGGCTTTCATTTCCAGATTGCATTCCCAGGTCTTTGTTCCAAGCTGCTGCCAAACCTGGGGAGTCTTCAGTCTAATGCTTTTACATTTGTTCTGATACACTACAGATTTGAGGTGCTTCTTGCGCTTAGTAGAACAAGATTTATGTGGTGATTCTTGCAGTTACAATTCCTCTTGTTCAGTACTTTCTGGAGAGATACTTTTATTGTCTGGCAAGGAGTAAAGGAATTGTGTGAACGTCCCTTTCCTCTTCTTTTGCTAACATATGCTTGTGGGGATAAGTGAAATTGTATGTAAACCACCATCTCCTGGTGTGTTTTGCCAAGTATTTGTAGTTGCTTTGTGTACAACTTTGCAGATAATTCCCAGCTAGGGGAAGCTTCCTAAGTGTTGTGTGCGTGTTGGGGTTTTGCTTGTTTTTTAAACTTAATTAGAATAAATAAATTACTAATATGAAAGCCAGTGCTTAGTTTCTGTGTTGGACAACAGTGCTAATATTGTGTTGATTGTAACACTTTGTATGTTAAAAATGGAGTGTCTTTTATTGAGCAGTTAGAAGTTGTGCTTGTGAATTAAACCTGAGACTTGTAAGGTCATCAGAAACACACACGTGGTAGTGGAAGCTTGGGGAAGGGAGAGGAAAAAGATGAAACTTACTTCATTTTTGCCTTTGAAAATGTTTAGCTTGAAGGAAATGTGTATGCTTTTCAATTCAGCTGGGTTGAACTTGGCTAGAATTTTTGGTGGTATTATGTAGGTTCCTTCTTGCATGTGTTTTGGACAGGAATTACTGTTTCAGAAACTTGTATTTCCAAACACTTCTTGCTTTGAAACACCTCATCCTTTTGCAGTCTTAATTAGCTGCATAAGTCCAGCCTCCATAACAATTTCATTTCCTGTGACTTCTCTTTTTTTTCCTGCCTATTGCTCAGTTATTTGTATGCAAATGAATGTGTGGACAACTCAATTTCAAAGTAAAGGAGTCTGTTAAAAGGGTATATTTTGTTTGTATAAAGTATATTTGAGAAACAAGTGTTAGAGATATATTTGTTTTGTGATAATTGGTGTCTGATTCAATTACAAACAGCATTACGTTACAAAATTATATATATAAAATAGAATAAATTATGAAATAAATTAATTTCACCATGAATTTCACCATGAATGATCAGGGAGGTGATTCTTTTCTTTAACTGTCTATGTTCAAACATATTTTTTTCTTTTTGTTTTTCCCCAGGTGGAGAATCATGAATTTCTCGTCAAGGCTTCTTTTGATCCTAATTTGACAGAATTAAGAGAGAAGATGAATGAACTGGAAGAAAAAATGCAGTCCTTGTTAAAAAGTGCAGCAAAAGAACTAGGTACGCTATGAAACTGCATTTGATTCTTACCTTTTCTGTAAAATGTTTTGCGATCAAGTGATGAAATGAAAACTGGTACAGAGGAGTTAAGGGATGTTTGTATTATTTCATTATTAGTGTGGGGTGACTTTATTTGCCACACTGGAATCTGTTGAAAACCAACTGATTTTTGGTTTATAATTTGGTCTTCCCCCACTCCCCGGTGGCATCCCAGAATATTTCAGAAATTATGTATGTTGCAAGATATTGGCAGAATTCATTTTGTAGAACTCATCTAACTCTTGTCTAGGCCTAGTTCTGTTTTGCATCCTTTTGAGGACATGCATTGAAACTCATGCAAACCGGGGACTGGTGAGCAGAAATAGGACAGAGTGCAGGTTTTTTTTGATAATACAGTTGTTTTCTTTTTTCTTCTAAAAGGTTTGGAAGCCGGCAAAAGTATCAAACTGGAGACAAATTCACAGTTTGGACATCACTTTCGAATAACTTGCAAGGAGGAAAAAGTTCTCCGTAACAATTCAAAATACGAAATAGTTGATACACAGAAGAATGGTGTGAAATTTACTAACAGGTATGAAATCATCTCGGTAGTTTTTCAAGCCTGTTGTGAAAGAAATAAAATTGTTCTTTCCTTTATAATCATGCCAATAAACTGGATTCAC